ATGTTTAACAGTAGTCTACACTGTTTGTATACACTTAGTAACGAGCATACGTCACTAAAAAACAGTTGTCGTTATTATATTGTTTATTTAGGTTTTTTTGTTTTATTTAGGGTATATTTTTTAATTCTAAATATTTTTTGTGATTTTGTTTGTTTTGGGATATTTTAATTGTAATGGGTGCGACACTGACACTGCGTTATTTCATGATAATAAAGTGTTGGTTCATATACCAAGATACGTTAATATACAGAAGTAGTTGGTATACAAAATTAGATATTTAACTCAAACAAAATGTCAATAAAAACTTGTATAGAAAACCTTTTATAACGTCATGAATCGCGTAACGGGCGCGACCTTAGAAAATCGGCAAATGCGACCAAGTTGGCTTCTAAAGTTGATAATATAAAATTTCAGAAAAAAGCATACTCTCTAAAAATGAATTAGTCAAACAATTTAATAGTTATTAGCGGCTGCTTTTTCACTTTAACAGCCAATTCTTATGTAAAATTGTCTCCTAAATCCGAAAATACCGTCAAAAGTTAAAAAAGTACAACAGTTTTTGAGATATAGTCAATTTTCCATTTAATATGGAATTGACTATATCTCAAAAACTGCTCCATTTTCATGATTTTTGACGGTATTTTCGGATTTAGGGGACAATTTTACATAAGAATTGGCTGTTAAATTTTGAGACACCATCGTATTCCATGGTTAACCATGATACAAATGAAAAAGCAGCCACTTATAACTATTAAATTAGTCATTTTTGACTAATTCATTTGTAGTCATTTGTAGTTTTTGGCGTAAAACTTGAATAGTAACCTCAAAAAAGCACGTATTTTAAATGAACAAATATTGTACAATTTATTTTCTAAAATTTTCTCCAAATGTAACGGGTGCGACATTTAAACTTTGTATTGAGTATTGAAACTCTTCCGTGTTTATTCTTAATGCTAGCTTCGAATATTTTAAAGTTATAAATTACATCGCAATTAAACTATTTGACTTCAGATATAGTTTTTATTTTGTTAAATAACACATTTGATTTTTTGTCAAGGTGGGGTAAGGTTTCGCGGAAATACCCTTTGGTAATTTAATAAATATTTGTTATACTTAAATTCAGCAGTTTTTTTACATTTTCAATAACATATTACCGCAAAATATATATTTTTTTAATTTTAGGGCTAAAAATTAAAATATTAAATGTTTTATATTTAAATATAAAAGGGGCGCACCAAAGAATGTTGCACGTAGGCGCCAAACACCCCAGGAACTCTCTAAAAATGAATTAGTAACATTGTCCCCTGAATCATAAAAGACTGTCATAAAGTATGAAAGTAGAGCAGTGTTTAAGATATAGTCCATTTCATATTATATTCGAAATTGAATAAATCTCAAAAATGTTCTACTTTTATAACTTTTAACAACATTTTCGGATTTAGCGAATAATTTTACATAGAAATTGAATGTGAAATGTCCGGGATACAAATTTTTGTTGACAAGAATTATTAGTGGCTGCTTTTTCGCTATGACAATTAGTCATTTTTGACTAATTCATTTTTAGAGAGTAGGTAGTTGTAATCTGAAGCTATATTCAAGTTTTAATTCGAAGAATCGCCATAATAAATAAAATTTTAAAAATATTTCAGCAAAATAAAAGAGCAATTTATTTTTGCGGATATCGCCCAAATTTAGGTGTGCAATTTTTACTAAAAAAAATTAGGTGCAGATTATTTTTTTAAATTGCCCAATTTACGATAAAGTTCCCGATATGGCATCACTACCGTGCGTAAGGATGTTTCCTTTTAAAAATTGGATAGAAAAAATAAAATGTATAATAATTACAAAAAAAGTAGAAAGAAGAAATGGTGTGTGTTAATGTTTAAAATCAATGTTAAAACCAAATATTTTTTTAATTTTTATTTTGAAAGCTTTCATGCACCACATCCGGTTGTCATCTAAGAGTATTGATATTTTCAAGAAGGGCAATAAAACCCCACTTTAACCTAAGATAAGAATTTTAAGAGGCTGTACGAGACCTCGAAACATTTGTAAAAACCTAGCATTAAGTTTGTTCACTTATTCATGTACACACGTAACGTTTACAGTAAATTTATATTTGTTAATTAAACTATGTTTTAATAATATTTCAACACATCCATGAAAAAATAACTAACAGTGTGTAGATGGAGTCGGCGTAACTGCACTCTACAATATAAAAAAAATATTAAAAGTTTGTGATGAAATCATAGCAAAATCATTTTTGTTTAAAATGACAAAAAATTACCTTTACAAAAAATCGAAAAAATATAGTACCTACTATAAAAACTATTGAGCTACATTAAATATTGAGATTTTTTAAATTTATTTGTTTAACCATTAATATTAATAACAAATGTGCTTTATTATTGTCATATTTTAAAGAACAAATTGTTACGTTTTGTCTACCACCTTCCAACAAATTGTTACATTAACATTATAAGTTGATATAATAAATTTTCCGTTGTAAAGTCATTATTTAAAACAATATAATTATCTTAATGTTTCTCATCTTAGGCCTGTAAAAAGTTTGAATTTTTAATCAATAATCAATATTAAAAAAATACGTAACGTTTCACAAAAAATAATAAAGCATATAGAGAGCTAATTTTTTATATATTTTCTTTTATTAGAATAAATATAAACCCAAAAATAATGCTCCGATCATTGGGGCGATTTTATCATTTTACCACAGAATAAATAAAATTTTCACAACTTATTATTGGATACTAGATAGATGACGTAAAATTTTAATTCATTTTAAAAGTTTAAATTTAAAAAGTTTTGCCACTTTTTCAAATATTACATTTAATTTATAATTTATGTATAAAGTTAGCATTGCCTTAAAATAGGTCATTTAAAATAAAATGTAATTTTAATATACAGGGTTTAACACAAATAAATGCCAATTCCACAAAAATATATAAAATAAAGACCGATGTTGCTTTGTTTTAAGATATACACTGAAAGAAATATATGTTTGTTTTAGCAATGTTTGTGGTTCATATATGGACTACCACATACATTGCTAAAACAAACATATATTATATTTAGTTTTAACATAATATGTTAAAACTAAATATAAAAATGGTTAAGGTAAATATATTATATGTTTGTTTTAGCAATGTATGTGGTAGTCCATATATGAAACATAAATTTCTTTCAGTGTATTAAGAATGTTGTGAGAAGTTTGTATTTAGATATTTTTTTATGAGATGAAAATCAAATATTATGAAATAATATTTTATTTAATCATTTAATTCAAAAGGACACAGAAGAGATGTGATAAAAAAATATGTTTTAATAGTAGTTATTTATAAATTGTTTTAAAATTATTTTATTAACTTAAAATATACCACCCTTCCTAAACTAATCAATACGAAACAGCTACTATCACCCAAATTTATTTTATTTACAAATTCCTTGTAGTATGAATTAGAAAACCACTCTCAAGAGGGACTTGTTTTTTGGAAAATGTGGCTAAAATAAATTTAAAAACTATTTAGTGCAAGATTAATACGAATTGTTTCAAAAACACAATTTAAACATGTAACAAAGAATGACAAAACTTTTCTTAAAGAATTCGTAGTTAAAATATTTGTTACTTAGTAAAAATCGACTTTGTTAAGAAATATAATAATAATAATTTAAATGCATTTGTATTACGTAAAATAAATATGAAATAGCAAATCCCCCTGGTCACTCGGCAAAAAATTCAATATTTTTTTTTCCTTACCAATATCAAAAAACACCTTCCTCAAACTTTGCAAAAATTTAAATAGAATAAAGGTACTTGAGATATGAGCAAAAAGAAAATGGCATTAATTTGGGCATTTTTATTTAAAAATATTTAATATTTACATTATTTTTTTGTCAAAATCGACTTCTTCGTTATTTTAATAGCTGAAATGCAAAACAAAAAAAATATGTCTGTTTTTATTTTTCAACACCAACAAACTCGAGTTCTATTAAAGGAATTACCCAGGAGTTTTTAAGTCCACCAATCAGTGTGTCCCAAAATTGGTAGCATCACAAAATTGGCAACCAAAAGGGTAAAGGTTAATTTCTGTTGAAATTCCAAGACAATTTTTTCTTTATCATTTTTTCAAATTCGTAAAATTGTAAAAGTTATTTAATTTTTAAGGCCGCCAATGGCAGCGCAGTGTTTCTGATCTAGGGGAGACCGGGGCAGCGAGGTCCACCGGGGTAATAAGGACCACGGGTCTACCGAGCAGTACGAATTTCACGTTAGTAGGTTGCCAAAACTTCATGTCAGTGCTACAAAGAAATCAAAATTTCATGGTTGATCTATAAATCCTGAGAAACTACTGGGGAATTAAAGAAAACTCAGTTTATAATAGTGATCCATATTAAATGTACTTCAAACCTTACCTAATGGTTTACCAATGCTATTGCATGGAAAAATGTTTCGAGGAGATTTCCTGCCTAGCTACATTTGAGGTAATGAGGACCACTTAATTTGGGGCAAGCAGGACCGTGGATAATTTATGTATTTATTGTGAAACTCCGTACAAAGAGAGTAAAGTTGGACTGGGTCCAGTGCACAAGTTGTGAGAAATGAATGGGCCCACGAAGAATGTGCGGGGGTAGAAGAAGATGACTTTTTCATTTGCGAGCTGTGCGAATAATTTTTAAATTTTCAATTTGTGCAGGGCGCAACAGAATTTGCTTTTTTTTGTTTTTATTTATTAATTTATTTAATAAATTCGTTAAAAACTATGAAGAGGTATTATTAATAATGCTTCAAATGGTGGACCTTCTTACCCCTAAACCCGGGGCATGGAGGACCAATGTAATAAAAGTGTTTTTTTATCTTTACCAAAAAATTTTACAACATTTCTTTCGGTTTTGTACTAAATAAATTAGACCATATTATATAGGTTTTCGAAAAAATTGCTTATGTCAAACTTTCATATATCACTGAAATATTAAAAAAAAGCTTATCCGGTCCTCGCTGCCCCGGTCTCCCCTACTCTCTAAAAATAAATTAGTTAGTCAAAAATGACTAATTATCATAGCAAAAAAGCAGTCAATTTTTATGTAAAATTGCCCCCTAAAACTAAATATGTCGTCAAAAGTTGGAAAAGTAGAACAGTTTTTGAGATATAGTCAATTTACCATATTATATGGAATATCACAAAAACTGCTCTACTTCCATAATTTTTGACGATATTTTCGGATTCATGGGACTATTTTACATTAACTGTTAAATGTTGGGGATGGTTAACCATGGTATAAGTAAACAAGCAGCAACTTATAACTTTGTTGAATGTCAGTATCTTTGCAAACACAATAAAATATATAAAAACTCGTTCGATAGAGCAGAATCACTGCGCTCCCATTGGCGGCTTTAAAAATGAAATAACTCCTTCAATTTTGCGAATTTCAAAAAAATGGTAAAGGAAATTTCTTACTAGATTTTTGCAAGGAATGGACCCTGTCGGGTGATTTTGGGACACTCTGTATATTATCCATAAATATGCTTATAAAAACCAAATTATATTAAGAATAGCATCAATAAAAACACAAACTCTAAAAACTGTTTTATAAAGGGTTTTAAAACAAAATTTTATTCAGTTTAATTAAAAATAAACAAATGTCACCTAAATGGCCCCTGCGGCTTTTTTCTCAGCTGTGCAGTACGCAGTGTTCATATATTTAAAAAAAATAGAATATAAAAACCAAATTATATTAAGAATAGCATCAATAAAAACACAAACTCTAAAAACTGTTTTATAAAGGGTTTTAAAAACACAAACTCTAAAAACTGTTTTATAAAGGGTTTTAAAACAAAATTTTATTCAGTTTAATTAAAAATAAACAAATGTCACCTAAATGGCCCCTGCGGCTTTTTTCTCAGCTGTGCAGTACGCAGTGTTCATATATTTAAAAAAAAATAGAATACATTTTAGAATGTAGGTAGGGGAAATTCCTTAATTTATTAAACCTTAAGGTTTATTATAATATAATTATTATTATTATTATTATTATTATTATTATTATTATTATTATTATTATTATTATTATTATTATTATTATTATTATTATTATTATTATTATTATTATTATTATTATTATTATTATTATTATTATTATTATTATTATTATTATTATTATTATTATTATTATTATTATTATTATTATTACCTAAATTTGCGATCAATTCCAAAATTAACACTGAAGTTATTGCATTCTAGAAAAAAATGGTGATACGATATGATTTACATATTCTTTAGAGGGTTATTGGATAGAAAAGTATGTAATAACAGCAATATTAAATGAGCCAAAAGTGAAGAATTGAAAACTCACCTGACCTTCGTAGTCCAGTGGCGGCGGCGGAGGTACGGCAAAGTTGGCCTGCGACGGTTTTACGGTGTCTGTACGTTTTCCGAACCTGCAATTAAATAACAGATTGTTACCTGTTGCTTATGTCGTTTTATCTCTTGAAAAAATAAAATGATTCTTGCGAAATCAGGTCCTCGAGTGATATTAAAGTTAGGTAGTTTATTTTTAGTAGCGTTCCGTGGGTATAAGGGTTATCATAAGGGCCACTTTTTTTTGTTTAAGTAAAATTCAGGATCTTACGTTCGTTTATTGTTCCTGATTTTATAAAATCATGCACAATAGTAAACGAACACTGGATAATTATTATTACTGACCTATTTAAAAAATTTACCAATAGACGCAAACAGTGAAGTAAAAGAAATCGGCAGTAAAGTAGAACTTTACAGCCGATTTAATACGAGTATTCGATGCAACCCATTATACATTTTAAGATGTGTCTACTGCTCCTCAGCAACAACTAAATAATATTAAAAAAAAAGTACCGTCGCGGAGGTCGATTGGAACCTATAAAATGTTGTTTAATAAAAATAATAAGTTAATTTTATAAATTAGATTAAAAAATTACCGCAGCGGGCAAATATATAATAACCGTCGCAACAAACAGTAGACACTTCCTACATTCAAATAACATTTGATTTGATCATCAAATGACATTTTATTTGATCATCAAATGACATTCATCAATATTAATTATAAGTATTATTAAATGTGATTTCGGATAAAAGCCATTAAAGTCATTTTTTATCACTCACGTGGTTATAATAATAATAATTTCCACATTTGTGATAAAAAATACGACTTTACTGCCTTAACTATTATTCGACTACCGCAAGGAATTTAAAGCCAATTTCATTTGATATTTTATTACCTCTTGGACTTATGACAAAAATAACTATCATAAAGTCTGGTAATAGTATATTACACTACAAGGGCCGAAAGTTAAATTTTCGGCCTACGCGTGCGGACCGAGATTTCAACGTTTGGCCCGTGTGGTGTATACTATTTTTCTTCATATATGAAGAAATGTATACATCGGTTGAAAGTACTTACTTTCGTCCCTAATAGCAGGAAAGATCCTTTAGACTTTTAATGTTTAAAGTTAATATTTTAAAAATTTAACAATTAATAAAACTTTTGTAAAATGGATACAAAGTCTTCAAATCGACTGGTTAAAGTTGTTACACAGGGTGGCCCACATTCTTTTAAACCAAATTTTCTCTAACTATGGAGGTTAAAATGAATTTAATTAGTTTATATTCCTGAAGAAGTGTTACCTTCTTGTTTATATCTTAAAGAGATAGGAGACACAGTTTTGGGTCCTAGGTATAATGGTCAAATACATCTACACAGTGCGCCTCTGTAAAGTTTAAGTTTTTTGAAAAGACCACCCAAATTTTTTTGTTGTTGATTATAGTGGACCATCCCCTCATTACATACCACTAATCACCTAAATCGCAGCTGATCCTTCTTGAAAGATTTTTAGCTCTTTAGATTTTTTTATATTTTTTTAAGTATTTTTATAAAATTTAATTAAATGGAGACAAAATCGGTTTATTGTATATATATGTATCAGTTTATACTTGTAGATTATAATAAGAAAATTAAAAAATATATCAAATACACTGCACTATACTTGACAGTCATTAACAAAATCAAAATACCAAATTTATTACACTCAAATAATACAAAAATTAATTAAACTTTAAAACAATTTCAAACAAGAGCAAAAACTCTTTATAACACTACTGTCCGTATCGCAGGTCATTTATATCATTGATTTTGTATTTCTTCTAAATTAACAAAAATTCACCAGCTTGTTTCGACCACAGACCCAACCCAGTTTTCAAAAACTGAACCGTTTCTACAAGATGCTCCAAAGGGTCTGCGAGACTCCTGTGCCCTTTAAAACTGCTTTCAAAAGTGACACGTCAGCCTTCAGTTCACTTAAGGTACAAAGCAGCTCTGAACCAACAATTCCATTCATTGTGTTAAAAGCCACAACAAATGGTATAACATAAACTTCTTCCAGGTTGACTAATATTTCTTTTGACTTTAAATCTTCTGCATTTTTCAACAACTTTCTGCAGGCATTCCCTTCAAAAAGTTCTCCTTGATAATTTTTCGTGACTAAGTGTAGCTTTTTAGGGCATTTTAATGCGTTTTCTTTGCCTAGCAGTGGTACAAGTCCTTTAAAAAATAAATGATTAACAAATCTTTGCAAAAGATGAAGTTCCGGAATAATACATTTCTTGATAATTTTAACGTCACTTCTTCTTTGAAAATGGCTTTATTGATAGTACTAAAAGATTCATTTCCACGTTTTAAGTTTTTTTCAAAAATTAAGTCAAATTTATTAAAATGTAGTGTATTATCTCCATAGGAGGTCAACTCTTTGTGATATTCACTGTATGATCGAAGTTCTTTTAACGAAATGTAGCAATAAGGATATGGGTAGGACGATGTTGCTGTCTGTAAGCCATTAACCATTAGAATTATTTTAAAGTCAGAAAGAAATTTAAAGGATATCTTTTTTATTTTTACCATGTCAAAAAGTAAGTTAAGATTTTCGTATGTTTCTTTGATGTCAGGAACCATACAGAGGATGATCAGTCTCTTAACACCTATAAGTTTTCCTTTTTTGCAGCGTTACCTCCATCAGAATTCCTCGAACACAATGAAATTTCATTCTCTTTATTTTCTGGATCTTCTGAAAATATGGACAGACATATTTAAAAAAAAATGTTGGCATCCATCGCACAAAACCTTGACATTTGGTGTGCCAAACTCATGTTTCCTTTCTAAAATTTCGTTTACTAGGTCACTTGCATCTGCATAAGTAACTGTCCGTGGGAGTTTTCCCTCTGAGGTTTCCAAAATTAAAGAACTTCTTTATAGTATTTAAACAAAATACGAGATCGACTTCTTCGCGAGGTTCTTTCTATATTGACTGGGTATTGAATTTTTTCCTGCCGATGTTCTGATAACATTTGTAATTTTATCCATCTGCCTGCCAGAAAAGCCAGCAGTTGTTTGGAAATTAATTGAATTTTATAAAAATACCTACTTAAAAGAATAAAAAAAATCTAAAGAGCTAAAAATCTTTCAAAAAGGATCAGCTGCGATTTAGGTGACTAGTGGTATGTAATGAGAGGATGGTCCACTATAATCAACAAGAAAAAAATTTGGGTGGTCTTTTCAAAAAACTTAAACTTTACAGAGGCGCACTGTGTCTAAAATTAAGAAAAAAATGGAAATTTTAAATTTTTAATGACAATTTTACTAACAATATTTCTTTGAATGTCGTCTTTAAATTAAAAAACTACTCTTTATATTCATTTCTTATTGATTTTATATATTGTTTGGTACATAAAACCATTTCAGATGTGGCGGCATGCATTGCAAATAATTATTTATTATTATTATTATTATTATTTATATTTATTATTATTATTATTATTACTATTACTATTACTATTATTACTATTATTATTTATTTATTATAATAATTATAATTAGGGTTTTTCATGTAATTTCGATGGCCCAAAGCCAAATGTGGCATCTACATAATCATGATTTTCTAGGAAAATAAAAAGAAACAAGTTTTCTTTAAATCAGTTTTAAATACTCATTTTTAATCTTAATAGTGGTTTAGTAAGAAACAGCTTAGGTTAAACTATCATAATATTTAAAGAACATTATTTTAAGCCTAAATGTGTAAAAACCACAAAATTAAAAATACTTGCCATATTTGGAACAACTCATCTATTTAAAAAATGTTTATTTTTCGTAAAAAGTATTTCCAAAAGCACAAAAGACATTTAAATTTAAAAGTTTCAAAGACACTTGGCAGTTTGACTTGTAGTGTGTGAAAATAGTTTATTAGAAATGAAATTGGAAACAATGAAAATGTTTCAATATGTGCAACAACAAAATTTTTGTGTTTGATAAAACTTTTAAAGTTAAAGTAATTTAATTTGATGTTTTAAACATACGCATAAATAAAATATGTACCTAAAAGGGTTATGAAATAAAAAAGCAGTCGTGTCATCTATAAGATAAATCTTCCATCCCTTTTACTTAATTCGTGCCTTTTATTTGTTCTTGATTTTTAAGATCTGGCAGCACTAATTTTTATTAACAGGTGATAGTTTTTTAAACGTCATTTTAGACACAAATTTATTTTAGTCTCGAGCAAGCTTGAGAGCAAGTGCTTAATTAAATGAGTGTCTGGAAAAGTTTTTAAACGAGTTGCATACTACACTTTTTTACGACAAATACTTAGTATTATTTAAAAATGTATTAAATTAAATATTTGTATAGAGTAACATCTATAAATCAATAGAGTAACATATATAAATCAATAGAGTAACCAACTTGGGAATCTATATTAATTCCGCGCTGGTGAAAATGTCAAATTTTTATGTATAAATCGAAATGTATCCCTTGAAAATGGACTGTTTAATCCGAGTTTTTCACAGTGCAAGTAAAAAAAAGGTTTTATTGGCACTGCACGGTGAAGTCTCCAGCCAAAATTAAGTTAAATCTAGTTTACTGCTGGCGAAATTAAAAGGTAATTTCAATGTTTATATAAACTTTTTAAATATTGGCGTTGAGAAACTATTTAATACTACTTTATTTTACAAGATGGGCTCTTTATTTTAACGATTGTATGAAATTTGTTAAATACCTTAAAACTAACTTTAGCCCGTGACTAAAATTCCATAAAGCTTGTCAATGTGTATTTAAAAGGTCACTTAGTGTCATGAAAATATGTACGATGATGGAAGTTTTAAAGGTGGGAGTATGTGTTTATTATAGTAAATGAAAATATTTCTATAAAAATACAGCTAATATGGGCGCTATGTGCAGAGGAACAGGAAAAGCGATAGTGCCCTGGCAACCTATTCGGCACGCTACTGTTTATTTTTATTCTCAACTAATCCCGGCGCATTCGCCATTTTTTAAACTTTCACTTTCTTAATTATGCCCTGCTAATCTAAACGGTTAAAATTAGCAGAACAGTATAATTAAGGATATTTTTAGACATTGTTTTTATAATTTATGTATACAGTTCAAAATACCTAATACCTAATAATATAAAATATTAGTATAAAAAAAAACGTTTTTCATGAAATTTGTTAATTTTAAATGAAGGTAAACACAGTTGATTATTTTATAACATTATAATGCAATTTGACATTTTGATATTTGGCAATATAAATATTTATATTCTGTTTAATAGAGAAATGGAGTAAATGTTAAAATTAAAAAAAATATATACATAAATTTACAATGCATTCGTTCGTTAGTATAATGTGTATAATATTATGTATCAAGTTTTATAAAAGCCATTTTGGTTACCAGTTTAATTAGGCACGAGCGAAGCTGGCGAGCGAGTGTTTAATAAAACGAGTTGCATACTATACTTTATCTCAACAATCTTAAAGAAGCCACAACGATGTTATTGATGTGTGCAGAAAAAGTAAGTTTAGAATCAAACAAATCTTTGACTTTATTGCATCGAACTAACTGGGTATTTTTATAATAGTAGTTGTAAATAATAGCATTTTGTTTATAAGTGTATGAGCAGACTTTGAATTAACCAACATTCATACCTAACTTATTAATTAAACACCATGACTGAACAGTATCAATCTGCGACTGCAGACTTATAAAATCTTTAGATCATCTGCACACAAAAAAAAATTACAATCAAGTTTACTCGTTAGGTCATTAATAAAAATTGGATCCAAGGACCAATATTGGATCCTTGTGGAACTCCTGACGTAGCGAAGTAAGCTTGAGACTATACCACGAATTGTTTACGATTATATAAATACGCACGTAAAAGTGCAACACGAGAATCACAAAAACCATATTCCTCCAATTTGCAGCATAAAATTCTATGATCAATTGTGTCAAAAGCCTTTGAGAAGTCCGTGTACACAACGTCAACCTGCCCTTGTTCGTTAATAACATTAGTTATAAATTCGGTTTTTTTCTGCTAAATTACTTATTGTAGAACGTCTTTCAATAAAGCCATGTTGTTGGGAAGCAATAACTGATTTTAGAGGCGTTCATACATGGACATCTTGAAGACCTTAGCGAAGTTATTAAGAATTGAAATAGGGCGATAGTTTGTTATATCTGCAGGATCACCAGATTTTAATATCGGACATACTTTGGCCTCTTTCCACTTCTCAGAAAACGTTTGAAACTTTAGAATACTATTAAAGAATATTGTAAGTGGAATTGCAAAAACAGTGGAGCAATCTTTTATAAAAAAGGTTGGTATTTCATCTTGCCCCAAGTCATTTTATTGGAATTGTTTTTAATGGATTTGAGAATATTATTACTAGAAAAAGAGCTTAAGTTTATAGACTGAGTTAGTTATAAGGTTACAATCAATACTGGGAGCCAAAAATACGCTTTTATTATATTTGTTTGTATTTACTTAAATTATACAAATATGATAAATATTTATTAGAACTAAAAAAACATGGCCCAAAGAGAAATACTATATTTTACAACAAATATGTTTTTATTGTTTCGTAAAGAAAACTTAGGTAAGTAACTAAATTAACAAGATTAAATTAAGGACAATAATAAAGTTAAATATTAATTCTCTTTTTAAAATAACCTCTTTTCCATAAGTACATCCTTTAGAAACTTAACGTACGTATTTTATGATCAAGCGCTTAGTTTTGTAATAAAATTAAAAAGTATTTAAATTTAACTAAATCCTGAAAATGTTTTGAAGTATCTTATTTTTTTGTGAATAAAATATTTTACACATTTTTATATTTTATTTCTTTAAATATTTTAAACTCACGTAGTTTATAACTAGTTTAAATACAAGCTTAAATTACGCAATAGCATATTTATCTGCGATTGCTTTGTTTGATTTTAATTCCAATATAGTGGCATGTAAATAAAATAAAATTAAAATAAAATTTGGATATATTAGGTTTCTAATAACTCTAATAAACATTGACAAACAAACAAGACAGAGCCATAAATCTTACCTAGGTCTAGCGCGATCAGCGTATAGTCTATCAAGTTCCTGAAGTCGAAGCATGTTGATGGCCCGCTGAACTTTAGGACCCATTTCTGCGTCTATAGGTCCACTTCTCACACTACCTACCACCATCTTGCGTTAGATAATATCATCGGAAAATTTGGGAAAGTGATTTTAAAGTAATATGGAAAATAAAAAGCTTACTAAGCATGGACCACAGCAACTTTTTGCCGTCTAGGCTCAAAAGGATTTCTCGGGCAAGCGGCAAGCAGCATTGATTGATTTGGATTCAATTTGGAACGCTTTTTTTGTTTGTGTTTTTGTTTGGTTATAGTATATAAAACGGTGCAACAAAAATTTTCTACAGACTTACATCATGACAATTGATATTTTTGCAATTTAAATGAATTTATTTACAGAGTTTTTGGTCTATAAATGGCTATAGATTGTTAATTATTATAAATATATTTGTATATTTCATCAGCATAAAGCAACAGAAAAGCTCATAATTTTTGGGATTTATTTTAATTTATGTAATTTTTTTTGATTACTAGTTTAAAAAATAAAAAACACCCTT